CACGTCATGACGTCATAGAGACGTCCCTTATTTGGACAGTGGCAAGTAATGACATTTGTCGCCACAGAGTACAGGGTGGTACAGGTATCCTAGCAACCATCATTCCAAACAAACGTCACAATAACCGTACATACAGCTATATATGGTTGTGAGTGACTGTAGCTGAAAGAGGTGAAGACGATCAATGAACGACATCACGGGGGTGTCCTCACAACACACTGCAACACATGCAATTTACGTTCCTCAACAAAATTACAGAAACGACCGACAAATGCTACACCTCCTTGCTACCATTTCCTACAACAACTGTCGACGAACGAAAACTACTCCACACCTCAACAAACAACCAATTTAGGTCAGTGAATGGCCGTCACGTTTTGACAAGAGACTAGGACAGAGACGAAGGTTCACGACAAACGACATTCATACTAACAAAAGCATTGGAGATTAACGACGGCAAAGCGAAGGTATTGGAAAGAAAGCTGTTTTTACTCACAGTCTAGGATGGTCGCCTTCCGTCTCGCTTCCATTGATCACAAGAAACACTACGAACTACTCCGACTCGACTAACTGAATTGCAGGAAATATTTCAATTGAAACTTTACAGGACGAGGAAGGGCACTGCTGAAGTAAAACATCAACATGCAAATACTCTAGTCCAGTACCTATGGCTGAGTTTCAAAACCTCCTCCCTGATGTTCCTTGGACATGAACAAGACTACTAATGAACTGCAAGGAACGGACGAAACCAGAAAGTATTCAGCAGCGCGACGGGAAGGATCAACTGACTGAACCTTTGAACTCTGACCTCTAGTTTGCTAGCGCTCTGTTGATGTATGGAACATTACAGACAGCAGAAGACTGTTTCTAGTGCAGTGTACTAGTGTACGCTAGCTACGCAGCCTAGCCTACGAACATAAAAAAATGTAATTTTTACGTCATAGATACACGTCGATTTGATACAACAGGGATTCTAGCCTCTAGTCTCTAGCGAAGTCTCAGACATCAGACGCAGTATCTGTGTCTGTGCATAGCACTGGTGAGTAGCTCTACTGGGGACCAAACCAGACACACCACACAACACTCTACAGACCCGAAACAAAATGCAAATTTGGAATCCGGTAAGTGATCAGTACAGTGGCCTATGCAATGCACGGCCGGTCGAGATCACGACATGATCTGCTGACCCCAAACACGGTCATACTGTGATCAACCAAGCCATGTGCAAGGGCACAGAAATCTCCACTGCCCAAACCAGTCGAATACAAATGCGACTATGTACCTGGTCTACATGTGGCATAACGTAGGCAAACTCACATTCATTCATACTCTCCTACGTGATCCACAATAGCTGACCTACTTTCTTGGTTTCATGCTACTAGTAGTGCGACCACCACCCACTGCGTTACATCATGCTACACTGTAGTATGCTCTGGTGGGCCTAAACTGAATCCTATGCCAGAGCGCTTCTATCGCCAAAACAGTCTGACAATCTGACAATTCACTCCGTATTATTGGATACGACAGCGTTGCTCAATGAAATCCATTCACCTCACTCGAGTACGCGCCGGACTTTCCGTAGCCCTAGACCTGCTAACACTGGGCTGGGAAATAATGCAAGGTGCAAACTTGAGTGACGTGACTGGATTTCATTGGGCAGCACTGTACGTGGAGTACTAGATACTTTTGACGTGGCATTCTCTTGAATTCTCTATAAGCAAGTTACAGATATCTACCGTGCACATCTCACATGCCTACTAGTGTGTGTTCAGACAATATCCAGTAGACTGTGGGAGAGAGAAAGAGCCACACGTCCATTCAGATAAGAAGTGATCTTTTCAACGAACTCAAGGTCACCCATCACACAATCACACACACACACACACACACACACACACACACACACACACACACACACACACACACACACACACACACACACACACACACACACACACACACACACACACACACACACACACACACACACACACACACACACACACACACACACACACACACACACGCCACACACACACACACACACACACACACACACACACACACACACACACACAGACACACACACATGACATCACCCACACATACACGCGTACACGCCGGCACGCGTACTTACCTCGATGCGTTTTTGGAGCAGGAGCTGATGGCGTAGTCTGAGCGGCAGGGGCAGGTTGGGTTTGTGTGGCGTCGGTAGCACTAGCTACTCGTGTCATTTCGCGTCCGTCAGAGGACACGACAACATCATTTGAATGCAATGAGGAATGGAATCTGTACGAAGGCATCTTGGCACAAGTCTTTAGTCTTAGGAAAAGCAAAGAATCAGTAGACAGTATGGATTGCACTACAGTGAATCTCAGAGAGACAGTGGAGGAACGACGGCATCTAATGTATGTGATTGAACAAGCGCAGCGTCTCCGGGGCACTTTATTCCACGCATGCGCCTAGTCGTCGATTTAACGTGGCATAAGCATTCAGCTTAGACACTGCAACTGGTTGGTTGCTAGGAGTAGGAGGTACGTTGCGGATTGGTTGAATTTGAAAAGGTTCGTTCTTTGGATTGTTCTTGACAACACGGAGTTGTGACAGGCTTGTGGCTGTGCAGACAATGGGTGGCTTGTAGGACTAGCCGGAGTAGACTCTCTGAGTAGAGCAGAGACCTGACTAATCGTCACGATCTAAACATGTTGACATACAAACTGTGTGAAGCCCATCCAGTCTCCGATTATCCGGGCACGTGATTCAAGGATCTTCCATCCCGCGCTGTGTGTGTGGTGACACCAAGAATCTACATGCATAATCCTCGGAGAACGCACCACATAATGTCAATTACTTGAGACGGGTTGGCAACGGGGTTGCGCTATACACATAACAATGCTTTCCTTTTGGGTCAGCCTGCGATAACGAAAACTCGCATCACGTGGTGTAGTGCTCATGAGTGATGTCGGACTTGTACAGATGTGTCCAGGGTGATTCTAGTGAGCCGTGGTGAAATAATATTAGTCCTCCTTGATCTTTATGGCTCTATCGAGACCATGACAAAATACACCCGATAATGGCAATATACGGTTTTCATTCATTTCAACTAGCACGTCTTCTAATGCAATCTGAAAATGTCACAGCTGATGCTTTACGCACACACCAATCCCTTGCACACCCGTTTTGAACAGATCCCAGCCCTGGAACGAGCTGATACAGGCACATGGTATGGTATGGTATTGATTTATTTGAATTCCGTATCTCAACAGTACAATGTACAACTTGGGAACATCCGAATGACATAGATACATAAACATAAAAGTACATTGCAAACTCTGCTCCCTCGTGACCCGTAATCCTAACAATGCCGTACCCTTACTCTCGGACGATCAAGAACAATATGCACCCAAGAACGAACAGACCAGAATGTTACCAGGCATATGATACCCGTCTGTACAAGGTGGCTCGGCCATATACAAATTTCCACATGAGAATAAGAACGTTCTAGTGTACAACTGTCAACCGGTACTTCCTCGGCACCAGTACAGCTGCACTGTAACTAGTGTAAGGAGGGATGTCATCGGGTAGTAGGGTACCCGTGCTACCCATCATCGTAAGTATCGTAATAACAGCAGGAATACAGGTAGCAGTGGACATGTCACTGCTGTGGGTGGACGACAGAAATTAAACCTGGCCACAGCAGTGAGCAGTCAAGGCAAGCGCTGCTGCCAGAGACATGCCAAAGACCATGCCCGATGTGATGAGTGGGCTCAGAATGCGCACTTTGGCATGCCAATAATAAAGACCATGACCGATCTGAGTGGGCTCAGCGCACTGTGGACAAGATGGAACTCCGGAGGGATCTCTCAGCCTGAGCTGGTTTTGCTCACGGCTGCAATGCACAGGGTTGTGAAACCGGGACGAAGCAGACAGTGGCAGTGCAACATCATGTCATGATTTAAAAGTCTTTGCACATGGTTATGCTGGAGATTGGCGCACCCACCGTACCGGGCTAGCATACAGCAGCCAAACGTGCGACCATACACGCATGTCTCGTCCTCGTACCGCACTAGTCCCCATGCCATGGTCACCAGTCACAGACCGTGGCCGATTATGGCTCTTCGAGGGGAAACTAGGGATTTCCCCCTACGGAGTAAGACCTTACCCCGTGTTTCAAAGTACGGCCGCGGGCACGTACATTCAAAGCGCGCTCGAAAAACATTATTATTAATTATTTCGATTCCGATTAGCTGTCACTCAGACATGGCGAGACGCCGCATGTCGGCTGAAGAAGTGATCCAGTCCATCATGCCATGGACTCGGACAGTGATGATCGATGACTGGAGCTGCGATAGTGAAGCCGATGACTCAGATGCGGACATAGCCGTGCGCGATTGCGACGGAACAAATTTAATTTCGCGGACGTGTCCGCCGTGGTGGATGTCGTACCTACTGCCGTGGTCGCCTTGGCCCTGAGGATATCGGACATGTCGATGTCGAACTTGAGCAGGGCGCAGCAGCACAAGTTACGCCAGCGCAGGACGCAGACACGAACGCTGATCATGAGGAAATATTAAATTTTTTTGATGCACAAACTTGTGTACATGGACCTGACAATTCTCCTGCAGCACGTGACGATGCAGCTTGGACGAAAAGGAATGCCAAACCTACTATTCCTGAATTCTCTGCACGGCCTGGAATCCCAGTACAGCCAGCAGATGATGCCACAGCATACTGGTTTTTGAACTTATACTTTGTACATGTACTGTAATTCTGGCAGCTGCTCGTCACCGAAACCAACCGGTATACGGTACAGTGCATACTTAGCCAGTTCCACGGCCGGGCCATTTTCCAGCCTGCTTTCCTGCATGCCAGTGACAGGGGTAGAGATGAAGATATTTATTGCTCTGTACTTACTGACTCAGTGAGTGGTCTGGTGTACAAGCCCCAAATGAACCTATTATTGGAGCACTGACGCTACTATCGGCACACCAGGATTTCCGGCCCTCATGACGTGCAACCATTTCCAACTCATTATGCAATGCCTGCCCTTCACAAACAATGAAGCCGATAGCCAGGATGGTCGTCTGATAAAGGTAAAGCCATTATTTGATTTACTTGTGGGCCGCTTCAAGCACGTGTACATACCTAAACAGCAGATGTATGTGTTGATGAAGAACTGGTTCTGTTCTAGTGGTGTACTGGGGACCTGGGTATCCGCTGGTTTTGTTCTAGGGGTGTACTGGGTACCTGGGTACCCGCTGGTTTTGTTCTAGTGGTGTACTGGGTACCTGGGTACCCGCTGGTTTTGTTCTACTGGTGTACTGGGTACCTGGGTATCCGCTGGTTTTGTTCTAGTGGTGTACTGGGTACCTGGGTATCCGCTGGTTTTGTTCTAGTGGTGTACTGGGTACCTGGGTATCCGCTCGATAGTCTCACGTACCGTTAGTAAAATGATACCCGTTTGGATTTCGATGATCCAGTCAGTACGGAACAACACTGCTGGGATCGCGCATTCCAGACGGGAGTCAATTATTTACAACTCCACGCTGGATGTCTGCATTGTTGTTGCATTTTCGCATCTAGTAGATCTACCTCTCCAACTAACAGACACAAATCAATTTGAGAATCACAATGTGATATCAATATCCAACCTGTTTTGGTGAGATCTCAGTGCCCCGTGGCACAACCCTCGTAACAGACACAAGCTCAGAATTTCTCTTGTTGATTAGAAGGTGTTCTTTATTGATCTGTCCCTGTTCTCGGGAGTTGTGTGATTATAAGAAAAGGTTTACAAAGTGAGTCGTACGTGTAAGGAAAAGCGTAGTATGGTCCTCTTTACGGAGGTGACACAGTAGGTGCCCAAACGGGTAAAGCACAAACGAAAAGGGTGCTGCGAGTTAGTGCAGTCAAGCAGCAACATTCTCCCCCTTGGTAACAAACCGTGGGAGAGTTAACATAACTATCGCGTTATCCGAGTAGAAATATAGGTGGATGGTCCATGGACGCACAAAGCAAAAAAAAAAACCAGTGCAGCTAGCTGCAGCGCAGAAGTGCGGGAGGCATGAGACCTCTACGACCGCACGTCCAATACACAATTTTTCGTGGCAGGTGGACGAAAAACGCTACCAGATGCGGTCTTTGCGTGGACGACACGGAAGAACACCATCGCGGCCCGGATGGATGGCTGAAATGACACCTTTGAGCCAGAGACCCCGTGGTGTGTTATAGGCCGCGATGATGACAATGTCGTTTCGACGAGCTGCTTCGCTTGGCGGTTCCACTTTATGCGGCGAGCGAGAGTCGGTAGGTACTCCCGAACCCAACGGCGCCAGAACATATCCGCAAGAGCTTGCGCAACGCGCCATTGGCGCCGCAGCGAGACATCTCCTTCCTGCGCGATTCCTTGAAGTATGGCACATGAGGAGCTGATCAGGAAATGGTTTGGAGTCAAGGCCTCGTCGGCGGCGGCATCCAGAATGACATGTGTGAGAGGTCGACTGTTCACGAGTGCCTCTGCCTCTGCCAGTGCGATCAGGAGGGTCTCCTCCTTGGGGTGGCGCTCTTTAAAGGGGAAGTGCATCGATTTTTCAAGTAGGGCTCAGATGAAAGACAATTGGATATCGGTTCCGATGGTATATCTCTCGCTTGCGTACGGCAAGGGAAACTTGCCATATCGCCGATTTCCTGATCCCGTTTCCATGGCGACTACAGGTGATGACGCACATTCTGCTTAGCTCCGTGAGAGAGAAGGTCGATCACTGCAGAATTGTGTCATTTTCAGTTGTCTTCTTGTATTCGCGAAGTGAAAGAAGTACTGTGTTCAATGCTGTTAGTGCCGTGAACTGTTTATTAGTAGTCCTATCCGTTGTGTACTGGGACGTGACACCGACAGGGGAAAGCTGGAGTGCGGAGACGTTAGCTGGCAAGCGAAAATCGTGACGAACCAAGTGCTGAAATCTTGGTTGGGACAAATCAAACGTTCAGCATTTACCTCAACCAAGGACCATGCCGTTTGCTCTTTCCACTTCCTGAAGATGGATGCGCTGCCTGCTGGAGACTCTCCTATCTCTCGTAACATCTTCTGAAGCTAGGTGAGACGACGAGTAGCGGAGATTAGCGAACGAAATAATGTCGTATGTTTTGAAATTTTTGCTGCTCAGGAGAGATGGCATTATATGAACTTAGTCCATGTGAACTCAATCAGCCCATGAACTAACCCATGAACAAATGCTTTCCTTGCAGACGTGCATGTGTCTATCCAATCTACACGTAGAGATCATTCCATGCCCTCAGTGAATGGCCTATTATATTATTTGTCCATACACTTCATCTGCATGTTGTCTCTCATGATGGAGAAGGGTATTGTTCATTTCATATGAAGAAGTTCGGGCAATAGATGCTTTCCTCTGGTACAATTCTGTTGACCTGATGTTCTTTCTAGCTTCATGGGTAGCTTAGGTGAGGTACCATCACCATCATGTTTACATGAGGGTCAAACACTGCACCGTTCTTTGTTGTGACATGACGCAAGTTATTGTAAGTGCTCGCAGACTCCATACATTCCAGCAACACCTAGCATGGTTTTCCGTCAACGTTGTGGGTGAACAAATTCCCGTCCAACATATTTATACAGACATGCCAGCACACACCATGCACCATACACACACACACTTGCCCTGCCCTGTCGAGTCACAGCCACGTGGGCCCGGAGGGGCAGTGGAGAGAGAATGGGAGAACGCCGCCCCGTGGCGCCCGGGACACAAAAAAAAGAGTTTGTCCGGCTACGTAGGGAGCAACACACATAAATACACCACACACACACACACACACACACAAAATGAGAGTTCGGGTCATCTGCCACGAGACTGACGTACGGCCGGGGAGAGCTTCAGCAGCAGTGTCTATTCCTGCCCTGGACCGAACGGAAGCAGCGGTCGCGGGACACACAGTATTCACCACAACACGGCTCCACTGTCGTTGGGGGCTGAGCCACACACTTGTGACGGGCAAGAACGCCACAGCGATCACACTGGCATGCTCCACGCTGCTCCTGCACACACTCTCTCACACACACACACACACTCACACACACACACACGCACACACACACACGTGCGCACATACTGCAAGAAAGAAAGAGAGCATGAGTGTCAGATTCTTGCATAGGAAGTGTTTATCAGCACACACTTATACATGCACATGCAGGCACTCAACGACCAACTATGCACCATGCCGTATGTTCGTCAAACATAAGATTGCAATACCAAATAAACAAGATCACATACTTCGTTCTCCTCCAAGTGTGTCCTCCCCAGCCATTTCCCTAGGCGGAATGTAGCCTACGAAATGGTTTCTCTAGACTAGGAGAAGATGCTTGGTATTCGCCATCTCTCCTGAGAAATGTTCAGCAAAAATTTCAAAACATACGACATTATTTCGTTCGCTAATCTCCGCTACTCGTCGTCTCACCTAGCTTCAGAAGATGTTACGAGAGATAGGAGAGTCTCCAGCAGGCAGCGCATCCATCTTCAGGAAGTGGAAAGAGCAAACGGCATGGTCCTTGGTTGAGGTAAATGCTGAACGTTTGATTTGTCCCAACCAAGATTTCAGCACTTGGTTCGTCACGATTTTCGCTTGCCAGCTAACGTCTCCGCACTCCAGCTTTCCCCTGTCGGTGTCACGTCCCAGTACACAACGGATAGGACTACTAATAAACAGTTCACGGCACTAACAGCATTGAACACAGTACTTCTTTCACTTCGCGAATACAAGAAGACAACTGAAAATGACACAATTCTGCAGTGATCGACCTTCTCTCTCACGGAGCTAAGCAGAATGTGCGTCATCACCTGTAGTCGCCATGGAAACGGGATCAGGAAATCGGCGATATGGCAAGTTTCCCTTGCCGTACGCAAGCGAGAGATATACCATCGGAACCGATATCCAATTGTCTTTCATCTGAGCCCTACTTGAAAAATCGATGCACTTCCCCTTTAATGATGGCGTGAAGTACGGTCTTGATGGACCCAATGAGCCGCTCCCAGGCTCCGCCTATGTGGGGTGCCGGCGGCAGGTTGACCGACCATGTAATGCCATCATGAGAAAGCTGGTCCTGGATGTGAGCTTCATTCAGCTCACGAATGGCCTGGCAAAGCTCTTTGGCGGCGCCTTTGAAATTAGTTCCGTTGTGTGAGTGAATCACCAGTGGGCAGCCTCGCCTGCTGATGAATCGCCCGATGGCCATTAGCGTTGAGTGGGTGGACATGTCGTCCGCCCGCTCCACGTGAACGGCTCGGTTGGCAAGACAAGTGAAGAGAGCGCCGTACTGCTTCTCATGTCTGAGCCCAACTTCGCCTTGCCTCAGATAGTCCGGGCCGCCAAACCAGCGATCGTCCGGCTGCAAGCGCTGGGCAGAGATGCCTCTAGAGAGATCGTTGTCTGGGTTCTCTCTTGTTGGTACCCATTGCCACTGGTCTACTTCAGTTGTGTCCGTTATTTCCGAGATCCGCTGGGCCACAAATGGTTTGTATTGCCGTGCGTCCGAGCGTATCCACAGCAACACCGTTCTGGAGTCCGTCTAGAATATGTCCCGTGGAATTGAGATACGCAGCTGCTCCCGGACGGTACAGGATAGTCGCTAGGCCAGGACCGCGGCCTGGAGTTCCAGACGGGGTATCGAGGCCGGTTTCAGTGGAGCAACGCGTGCCTTCGCTGCGACTAGGGACACTGCCAGCTGAGTACCGTGGTTCGCTACTCTGAAGGACGCAGCGGCGCCGTATGCTTTCTCGCTTGCTTCTGCGATCACGTGCAGCTGGATGTCGGTAGCGACTGTAATCAACGGTGTGTAGCACCGTGGCACTTCTACGGTGGCCACCTGGTCTAGCTCTGCAGCCCAATCTGTACATCTCAGTGCAAGAGATGCAGGGAGTTCATCATCCCAGCCTTTGCCAGCTCTCCACATATCTTGGAGAAGCATGCGTGCAATAATGGAGTGGCAAGACACCAGGCCGAGTGGGTCAAAGACCGACATTGTGTGTCGCAGGACGCTTCGCTTGGTGACTGGTGCCTTTGGATCTGGCTTTATGCCGCAGGA